TCGCTCGATATTCATTTATAAAAAGCGTCAACAATATCGAAATTGATATAATACTTACTTAATAATAAATCGATTACTTCTCGGATATTGATAAATTCAATATTCATTATAAATCCCCGAATCGTATCCATTTCAAATTAAGGACACATTAATTGACAAATGGTATTTCCATCTTCGAGGAAACTTTGAATCGTATATATAAACCTCTTGGTCAACTCAAGCCCACGAATTAATTGAAATCATCGCGAGGGAAGCGCGAAAGCTACTATATTCGACTACTGTATTATGTATTACGAGTATTCTCTTTTAGAGGCGGGTTTCCGGCTGCACTTTCTATAACGAAGCTGATTTATATCGCCGTATTCATCGCAGTAGACCGGACGAATCCTGCTTAAACTTCAGGCTTTGTCTGACGCTTAAAGGGGATGGAGAGGGGCTTTAATTCATCCCTGCGTTGCGCCACTCGAGTATACGATAATTCAAGAACAGCCGGTTGCTATTAATTTCATCGAATTCCCTCGATATCCCTGAACTGGAATCTTGAATGGAACGACTTTGCCAAGAATTCCTTCTCGCGGACAATGCTAAATCATTTTCTTTTTTCCACCCCTTTCTTTCTTTTCTCCACGAGATCGTGGGACGTTTGAAGACGGATCTAGACTTTCGCAACTTCGGATGTGCATTAAGGATGATTCGACCACGGTGAATGAAGTATTTGCAACGGTTCAAAGGCCGACCTTATTCCGTTGATTTTCGAAATTTTGAATGGAATAGGAGGAATTTTTTGGAGGACTAGCCATGGATGTTCTATTTATTTCTCTTTACCATATTTTGCCATGTTTTTAATTCGTTTCTTAATCTACAAGCTTCTAAGCAAATTCTCTTCGATTAGAGGATAATCTCTAATTAAATTTAGCTCTATTTGCTCAATTTATATTTAATGATAAAAACGATCCACCATGCAAAATCGTGAACTCGTCTTAAGATAACGCGTAAATTTCGTCGATGAGAGAACCGCGCGGCTCGTTCGATTTCACGTTGGAAAAGCGAATGGGACGTTGCATCGTATTAATAGTAATGTCGCATGAACGTCATGGGGGTAGCGTTGCGGTTTACATTCACTCGGGTAACCCTCTAACCATTACGCGTGACGTAACCTAACATCCTATTATTGTTATACGTAGAGATGCACAGAGTGGTATACGATTATGCATATAACCGTGCACGGTCTCCGTTATTGACGGACAATTACTGTTTATCGTTTGCAAACGCCACTATCTTAATCAGTTTCGTTGTTATCTAACCGTTTGCTCGTCTTCGAGAATTGATAATGAGAAATACGAGCGAATTAACTTCTTTACGTTTCTTTTCTCTCTTCTTCTTACAGAAACATCTCTTGCGACTTTTCGAATAAAATTATAAATATATTTCATTCCCAACGATCCTTCTAAATGAAAAGAGAAACACGATGGAAAACGCGTTATAAATACACGTCGACACGAACGATTGTTCAGCGACGAGCTCAGGCTGTTGAACGCAAGGTTCAGAACAACAACTCCGTGTAAAAGGTGGACGCGCCACGTTGACGATTCGACGACACGGCGGAAAGGCGAGGAGGAAGACAGAGGCAGAGCGGAGATAGGTGGTTCGTATCAATAGTACACGTCGAGTGGACGCCGCGGGGCGGTATTGCGGTTTACATTCACTGGCAACCCCTTCCACCGCGCGTAACGTAACGTAACGTTCTGTTCTGTATGTTCAACGAGCTGGAAGATCCATATCTCACTTGAGGGGTAGCTCTTAGAGAGGACACGTATACATGCAGGCGCGAGTGCATGCTCGCGACCAACGCTTACTGGCAACCGTGTGTTCGTGCGTGGCACGAGCTTGCCACCCCTTGTGCCAACATTCATGGCCCCATATACCACCTCTTCGCAAGTGTGCATGTGCACGCAGATTCACGCACGTTGCTGCTCCCGTTAACTCGTACGTCGCCTAACCTTTTCGACTTCTTCTTTCTCGCCTCCTCTTTCTTTCTTCTTCTTCTCTTTGCTTTGGTTTTTTCACCCTTTCCCACATCGTTCCACCCCTTCTCCATGTTGTTTACAAGCC